CTGCCGGTAAAGCGCGCGAAATTCGAATTTTTATTGATTTTCAGTGTTTTCTCTGATGTTTTTTAAAGATTTCAAAAAAAAAACCGGCAGTTGACCTAGAAAACTCACACCTGGCCGCTAGGCCACCGATTTCCACTTTGACTTTTCGATGCCGTTTTTCTCGACGAAGGAATTTTTTCTTTCTTTTTATGCCAATCTACATGCATTTCTGCACATTTTGATGCAATAAAAAATTTCACCGTACACCACCTTTAAACGTTCAAAATTTCATTTTTTTTTTCATTTTTTTTCTGTTTCAACTGGGCGGCTGGCCGCAGCAGACCGCGTAGGTCATATTTTTCCGACCAGACCGCCTTCCTTTTGTTTTTGACGATTTTGAACAATTTACAACGTTTACCCCCATTTCGTCCAGCTCAAAAAGTTTATAACCTCATTGTCCCGTTCTATCCTGATTATTCGAAAAAGACTTCCTTGTAATCTGATTCTGACTTTGCTGGGACATCATTATTCCTCCCGTCCCCACCTTATCCTATTACCCAGTTCTCGTCCCCCTAACCATCACCGTTGTTGGGTTGCTCATTTGTATTCTTCTTCTTCTTGTCATGATTTTGCACAAAACCCAACCGCCCGTTAGAGCCTTCTAGAAGAACCCTGGCTACCCTATAATTCTGACAATTGGAAGGGAAAAATGGGGGAAAAAGAATAATAAGAAGGGTAGAGAGCTCCGAATTGTCCCACTTTTTCTAAACTGGAAGGTTGTTTTGAAGATTTTCGAAGTTCTAGAATCTAGAAGACATTCTAAAGATTTCAGATTGTTTTTGAAATTTTTTGGATTTTCCAAATTTTTGGATCTCCAATTTGATGAATTTTTGGAATTTCTGAATTTCAAAGTTTCCGAATTTCTGAATTTTCAGAAATTCGGAATTTCCAAATTTTGGATTTCTTAATTTTTGAGTTTCGCAATTTTTAGATTTTTTTTTGACTCTTCTGAAATTCGGCTTCCCTGAAATTTCGAAAATTTCCGAATTTCTGTGTTTTCGCATTTTCGAAAATTTTTAATTTTACGATTTTTGAGTTTTAGAATTTTCAAATTTCCAAATTTCTGAATTTTTCGAATTTCTTAGTTTCTGAATTTCCGAATTTGCGAGCTTCTGAATCTCAAAATCAAGATTTTCAAAAAAAAAAAATGAACATGAGCAATCAATTCTCTCAATATCGCACTCATCAACAAAAGAAAAGAAACCTCAGTTTCTCTTTTTTCTGAGAGTTTGCGTGTTTGAAGTAAAAGTAAAAGCAACTGGAGGTTGGGACACACACACTCCGACAGACAAGAAACAACACTTTAAAGAGCGTTATTCGAAGGGAAAAACGAAGAAAAAGAAGGAGAAGGAGCAGTCAAAAAACTAGTGCTCCCTAGTTTTTTTTTTCGTCGATTTCCTCTAGAAAATGAAAAAGAAAAGATGTCTTCTTCTTCTTATTTTTGGAGAGGGTCCTCCCCTCACTTTTTGCTTTATTTATTTTTTTTTGGGATTCTTTTTTTTTCGTTTCTCCTATCGGAAATCTAGGGGGTATTAGAAGTGGTTTCAGAATAGGAAACCGCCATTCTTAGGTCTGCCAAACTAGAATTTGGTTTTTTTTGTTCTAGGAGACGTTGGATGTATTCTGGAGACCCCGCAAATTCTGGGGAGAAAATATCCGTGGAAAAGTGGACAATTTAGGCTCCGCCCCCGACTCCGCCCCCTCTTCCCAGTAAATTTAAAAAAAAAATGTTCTCCCCGGAATTTGCGGGGTCTCGTATTCTGAAGATTTTTTGAATTTTTTTGGGGTTGATAATTTTGGATTTTTTGTATATAAAGGTGGTGTGCGGTGAAAATTTTTATTGCATCAAAATGTGCAGAAATTCATGTAGATCCCCATAAAAATAACGAAAAAATTCAAAAAAAATTCCTTCGTCGAGAAAAACGGCATCGAAAAGTCAAAGTGGGAATCGATGGCCTAGCGGCCAGGTGTGAGTTTTCTAGGTCAACTGTCGGTAAAAGCGCGCGAAATTCGAATTTTTATTGATTTTCAGTGTTTTCTCAGATTTTTTTCAGGTTTTTTCATACACCTGGGAGGAAATTAAC